TGCCCCACGCCTGCCCCACGCCCTGCCCCAGCCAGGCACACGCCGGGGACCTCTGGTGACATTCTGGGGCTGCCTCGAGCATCTGAGGGGGCTGACAAGCACCTTCTCCCCATTTCTAGGGCTGAAAGGGGGAGCTCCCACCTCCGGGTCAGGTGGCTCCAATGGCCCCACATTCACCTACACCTTCCGGGGCGACCCCCACGCCATGTTTGCCGAGTTCTTCGATGGTCGCAACCCCTTCGACACCTTCTTCGTGCAGCGCAACGGGGATGACGAGGACGGGGACGACACCTTCACCACCTTCCACGTGGGAGGTTTTGGGAATGTTAGCTTCCCCCGGAGCCGTGGGGGGCCCGATGGCGGCTGCCGTAAGCAGGACCCCCCTGTCCTCTACGACCTGAAGGTCTCCCTGGAGGAGATCTACAGTGGTTGCACCAAGAAGATGAAGATCTCCCACAAGCGTCTCAACCCCGATGGGAAGACGGTGCGGAACGAGGACAAGATCCTCACCATTGAGGTGAAGAAGGGTTGGAAAGAGGGCACCAAGATCACCTTCCCCAAGGAGGGCGACCAGACCCCCAACAACATCCCCGCCGACGTCGTGTTCGTCCTCAAAGACAAACCCCACGGCGTGTTCCGCCGGGAGGGCTCGGACATTGTCTACCCAGCAAAGATCAGCCTCCGTGAGGTGGGTGGGTGGGCAGAACCTGGGGGTCTTGGTGGTGGCAGTGGGGACACCCAGGCTGGGTTGGTCTTGGTGGTGGTGAGGGAAATATCAAGGCTGGGTTGGTCTTGGTGGTGGGGACATCAAGGGTGAGTTGGGTCCTGGTCCTGGGGGGAGGAATAGAATGAGTTGGTCTTAGTCTTGGTGAGGACGTCCAGGCCGGGTTGGTCTTGGTTTTGCTGGGGAGGTCAAGGCTGTGACAGTGGGGATGTCAGGGGTAGGTTGCTCTTGGTGTTTTTGGGGATGTGATAGATGGTTGTGCAAGGGTTGTTCTTGGTGGGGACATCAGGGTTGGTCTTGGTGGCAGTGAGGGGATGTGAGCATGGGATGGTCTTGATGCCAGTGGGAGGCTGTCATGGGTGGTTGGTCTTGGAGGAGACATGATGGGCAAGGGTTGGTCTGGGTGGTGGGGATGATTCTCTTTGTGTCAGCGACACGGAACAATTGGTTTAGGTGGTGGGGATGAGGTGTGTGGGTTCATCTGGGTGGTGGGGACACAAGAGGCCTGGGTGGTGGGGATGTGATGGGTGGTAGGTCTTGGTGATGGGGACCAAGGGTGGCTGGTAGCATAGATGTGGTATGTGATTGGTGGGGGTGTTGGGGATGTGATGGGTGACAGTCTGGGTAGGTGGCCGTGAGAGGTGGTTGTCTGAGTGGTGGGGATACAGGGGGTCTGGGTGGTGGGGACCAAGGGTGCCTGTCAGAGCAGTTGGTGGGTGGTAGGGATGTGACGGAAGAGTTGGTCTTGGTAGAGATGTGGTGGTGGGATGGTTGTCTTAGTGGTGGAGCCAAGATGGGTGGTTGGGATGTTGGAGGGCTTGGTGAGAACCTGATGGGTGGTTGGTCTGGGTGGTGTGAACGCAGTGGGTGGTGCATCTTGATGGTGGGGATGTGATGAGTGGTTGGGTCTGGGTGGTGGTGGGGATGTGGTGGGGGGTTGGGTGGTGGGATGGTGGGTCTGGGGGCCGTGGTGGTGACAGGTGGTTGGGTGGAGGGATGGTGGTTTGGGGGCCGTGGTGACGGGGGGCCCCGGCAGGGCCCGCGCGGGTGGGCGGACGCATCCCGGGGGGGGGCCTGCCCTTCCCCCGCTCCCCCGACCAGCGCGGGGACCTGATCATCGAGTTTGAGGTCAAGTTCCCCGACAGGATCCCCCCCTCCTCCAAGACCCTCCTGGAACAGATCCTGCCTGTCTAGCACCCCCCTGCACCCCCTGGTCTGGGGGGGGTTGGGGTTTGGACCTCTTGGGGACCACAGTGGGTTCTGGCTCCTCCAACATCTCCAGGCTTGAGGAGGGGTCTTGGTGTCCTCATCCTCTTTTTGGGGGCTAGGGGTGGTGGGGTGTCCTCAGCTCCTAGCTTAGAGCTTGGAGGGGTCATGGGGTGTTCTTGATGCCCCCCCCCCCCCCCCCTTTTTGGTGTTTC